GAGAGAGAGAGAGAGAGAGAGAGAGAGAGAGAGAGAGAGAGAGAGAGAGAGAGAGAGAGAGGTGCCATTGGTGGTGAGGAGGAGACGAGAATAAGAAGGCATTGGAACAACATGAGGGAGTGGTTGGCCCTAGAGTGAGACGGGTGTGTGCAGGAAGAGAAGGGGAAAAGGGGTGGATTAGGTGTTTTTTGGATTGGAGAGAGCTGGACAGGGAAGGGGGGGTTAAAGACGGGGGAAGAGGGAGGGGTTGGGGAAAAGGCGGGAACGAAAATGGCGGGAGAATCGCCGATAGTGTATAAAGGAGGTAACAAGAAGGGCGGGAAGAACAAGGATGGAGCGGCGGGGGGGATGGTCCCTCTCTCACCGGAGGAGGCGCGCGTTCGCGCAATTTTTGAAATTGTCAACGACATGATAGTCGGGATCCGCGCAGGTCGCGATATCAACTTGAACGCCATCAAGTCGGAAGCTTCGAGGAAGTATGGATTATCCCGCGCGCCAAAACTCGTTGAGATCATCGCAGCCGTTCCTGAAGAGCATCGTGCGGATTTGATCCCTCGACTGCGCGCCAAGCCGGTACGGACGGCCTCGGGAATTGCCGTCGTGGCTGTAATGTCGAAGCCTCACAGGTGCCCGCACATTGCGACCACGGGGAACATCTGTGTCTACTGTCCCGGCGGTCCCGATTCCGACTTCGAGTATAGCACACAATCTTACACAGGATATGAACCCACAAGTATGCGAGCCATTCGTGCCAGGTAAGACAGACACTGAAGCTCCGTTTTTTCACGCCTCCCTTCCCCAATTTACTATGTCAAATACATAATCTTACATCTCTCTCTCTCTCTCTCTCTCTCTCTCTCTCTCCCGTGTGTGTGTGTGTGTGTGTGTTCACAAAACACCTCTGTCTCGCTCTGGCTGTGTCTCTGTTCGTTTTTGACCGCGTGCTTATGTTTGTGCTTGTATGTGTGTGTGTGTGTGTGTGTGTGTGTGTGTGTGTGTGTGTGTGTGCCCCAGGTATTTTTGTGCATGCTTATTTGTTTCAGATCCGCCTTAGTTATTTGTGAAGTGAAAGAAGAAGAAGGTGGTGATTGACAATGATTGTTTATGGCAACCGATGGTCAGGTACAGATCTGAGCTTGTGTTGTAATTTTTCCACGTCTGCAGTCCAGATACAGGTACAGGTACAGATCATGCACCTGGTGATCTGGACGTCCAGCTGCTAGAATGCTTATGAAAGAAAGTGCGCATGTCCAGGTGCAGATCATGCAACCGATGCTACATCTGTACCTGGACATGCGATTTTTTTTTTTTTTTTCAAACATGCGAATGTTTCCACGACTGCAGCTGTTAGAATGCGTATGAAAGGAAGTTCGCATGTCCAGGTACAGATCATGCACCGCGGAAATTGTCCAGGTACAGATGTAGCATTACGTTCCGAGTAAATGCAATTAATGGAGGTACACGCAATTAATGGAGCTGCCCATTCCATGTTCCCACCTCCAATTTGTTTTTTACCTTCTTCTCCTCCTCCTCCTCCTTCCCCTTCTGCTTCTCCTTTTTTTTCCCTCCTTTTTTTTCTCCTCCTCTTATTCCTCGTTCTTCTTCTCCTTCTCCTCCTCCTCCTCCTTCTTCTTCTTCTTCTTCTCCTCCTTCTTCTACGTCTCCTTCTTGTCCTCGTCGTTGTCCTTCTTGGCCTCCTCCTCCTCCTCCTCCTCCTCCTCCTTTCTTCTCCTCCTCCTCCTCCTCCTCCCTCTTTCCCTTCTTGTCTTTCTCCTTTTCTTCGTTTGCTGTGGACAGTTTACCGTCTTCATCCGAATAGAAAGCACGGTCATTATAGCTGTATTTGGACCGACGTCCAGTCCACATACAGCGATAATAACCGTGCATTCCTTCGGGAAGAAGCCGGCTAACGATGGGTTTGGTCAGGTCATCAGGGGTTAGTCCCGTTTTCCCGTTTTTTTTGTTTTTGTTCTTTTTTTGCAAACATCTGTGAAAGGCCTTCTCGTGGAGGTAAAAAAAAAAAAAAAAAAAAAAAGCACCCTCCACCAATAGGGCCCCGATAGAAGATGGCTCCAGTCTATTGGTGGGGAGCGCGATCGAAGATCAACGGTCGGAGGCGAAGGATGATCCAGCGGGGAAGTGGGACCAACTTTGGGCCATGCCGCTGGTGCGGTAAGGGCACTCGGCAAAGTTGACGCGACAGGCCTAACAGCGGCTACGCTTTACGGCGGGGGGGGGCGGCCATGACGCCTGGGGTAGGGAGCAAATTTGGACGGGCCCTACCGGGGGCATGAGAAAAAGTTGGAGGGCCAAACGATAGGCTGGGCTTCC